TATTTCTTTCAAAACTTTATTTGTATATACTTGGATGTCTATCCCACCTGCCTGTGAGCCCTGTAAAGACAGAACCTTCTTCTCCACCTGCCTGCCGCTACCCCCAGCACTAGGCTCTGCCTGGTGTAAGCCAGTTCTAAGGAACTGTGTATTCAAAGAACAGAGGTGGCTTTATGCCCAGGGGTCCTTATTTTCAATGCTGGTATCTCCTACCTGGTACCAGGATTTAAAAGAACAAGTTATTTCTTAAATGGGTATTTATTGCTTCATAAAAAATATGAGCCAAGTTGTTTCAAGATCAAAGCACAGCTACCAAAAACTTAGAACAGGATCAACACCAGCTAAGACATCTCAATACCAATCAGTCATGATATGATCATATAGAGAACTATAAACTGATGAATGCCTGCCTGCATGTTAAATTATAACAACTCCTTCAAACTTCCTTCCACTAAGGAAAGCCTAAAGTCTGGATTAACTATACCCTACTGGTTACTTACCTCTAACCATCCAACACAAGTAGCAAACCATACAGAGAGAGTGTGTTCTATTAAAATACCAATATGAGTTCACTGAATTATATATTAAATACGATTGGAACAACTCTTGTAGCTTGAGTTTGGATGACTACAAGATGACGCAAATGTGATCCTGAAAAATACTAATGTCCAAATCCACATATCTAAATAAACTCAGCCACCTATTCATCAAACGAGAGAGATGATAAATACGTGCATACTCATACACCAAGAAGAAATGAGACACTTAAGATAGCTTAAAAAGATCAAAAGTTCCAGTTGCCATATTATACCTGGAGAGGGAGGATCCTAGACAACTACATGCATGAGTTGATAGTAGTTGATATCTAGGAGTCCATCCTGCCTCTGCTCTTTGTCCTTCATCCATACCCCATCCCACCACCCAACTCGCCTTTCTCCTTCTATGCCCTTTTCTCTGTTCTATCTCATGTCACTATATTTTAATACTTACATTTCTTGAATTGAACAGCTTTCTCCCAAGCATCTAAAACTTTCCTTACCCACTTAATTGCCCAAATGCCTCTTTTCAACAAAAGTATCAAAAGTTAAGGGAGGTAGAAGGGTTATAAGGCAGTCGCCAGTCTTATTTGTACCACGTGCTAACTTGATGGTCATGGCAAAGACTCCTAAATGCTACTGGTTTTCCAAACACTGTTTCATTTGCTTAATATGCTGCTTCCAACCTTTATCTGTTTGTGTATATAAACCACTGGGTGCTTTTTGAGCTTCTAAAGAAAAATCTTTTATGTTCATTAATACTGTCTGGGTTTCTGAAATTTATAAAAATCCCAGCATTCCTGGAGGCATTAATCAACGATAATAATTGAAGAATGCAAAACACCACCACCTCAGGATGAGGAAACAAGCTCAGATACCAGGAAATGCGTGGGACACTGTAGCCGGCTTCTGTGCCATGCCAGGTGTGAGAAAAAGAAGAGGTACAGGTTGGAACCACCTGGGGGCTTTACAAAATGCTGGGTCATGCACTCCTCCCTCATGCATCCATTTAACCTGCTTGGTATTGAGCTTCTGTTTAAGACTTTGTTTGGGAAATAGAAGAGTTCTCTTAGAAAAGAAAAAAAAGCCTTCAGCTTTAACTAGTGCAGCTGAGAGGTTAAGAGCATGTCTTTAACCCAGATCATGCTACTTCTCAGCAGTCCTTTGACAACAGAGAAGGATGACATTTGGCTATACCAAAGAGACACGATGTCTAAAAGCATGAAAAAGATTATTTGTAAAGGATTGAGGATAAAAAAAGCAATAAAAGGTCAAGGTGGACCTGACAAGCGAAGGCTTCCTTACCCTGCTCCGTGCATGCTCTCCACTTGATGGAGACTGGATTCAATAACAGAAGTCAAGGCATCAAATTCTTCAATGCGTAATGTTTTACAAATGTTCCAGATTTTCTTAAGAGCAACTAAAGCATACAGTCGAACACTGAAATTGTGATTGAAACACCACTGCAGTACAATAACAAGTGCTCGCTTCAGAATTAGTTTCTGCAAAGAAAGGGGTAAAATTCTTCAGATGTAAACATGAACCATTTGACCCTTGACTGTCTGACAAAAAAAGGTATACAAATGATAAAACTGCTGCAATGTAAACCTTATTTCACTGGTTTTGCTACCAGGGCTTCTCATTCTTCCCTCCTAGACAGATTAGATACACTGGCATTCACAATTTTCTCAAGAAAAAAAAAATTCTCCCAGCTTTTTAGTTTTCATTAATGCTACATAGTACATTTCCCCCATAGTCCAGTATCTAGGAGAATATGGACAATGTACCTTTATGCTAACCATTGTCTAACCACCAGTGACAGGAAAATTAAGAAGTGGAGAGAAAAATAATAAAATGGTTTAAACGTCCCTGTAGTCTTTTCCTGTGAACTTCAGTCTTCACTGCCTGGAGATTTCATGCACCAACACCCCCTGATTTCTAAAATCACATAGTTCAATAAACAATGAAAGTCAAAGGAAGTGATATCTGTTAGTGTGGAAACCAGATGGACCCAAACTTTTAATAACATTATCAGAAGCTATCTTGATGATCCTACCAAATGGACTGCCCTCGGCCCAAGGGTCAAGTGGGAACACTCTCTGGGCTGCACCTAGCAGCCCACACAGTTAGTTTCTACTGACTAATTAATAAACAACCATATTCACAGAACAGTTTACCAAATACATCAGCATGGTTAACAATACACTTCAACTACCCAAAGTTTCTCCAACAAGGATAAAACACAGATATGAATAATCCTCTTGCTTCTATTCCTTTATTCAACATGTCATCATCATTTACCAAAGGTCACTGTATTGCCAGCATTACAAGGACACCATTGGCAGGCAGTCAGGCAGGCAGACAGACACACACAATACCATAGGTACAACCATCCCTGCGTAATGAGCTATAAAAGCCATCACCTGTAACTACAGCAGGGGGAAGTGGAGTAACTAGTCAGGGTCCATCGCAAAAGGCCACACGTGGGGAGTAAAATGCTCAAGAAGAGGGACAAGGAGGGGGAAGGGGAGGGGCACACTGGATGTGAGTCTGAGAAAACCCATAAATGCAATAGAGGAGATAACATTTACTTGGCTAGAAGGAATATCAAAGAAAAACATCTAGGGTAGCATAAGAAATAGGCAGCTTCCGAATGACACATGATTAAGTATTTAGTTTTATTCTAGAAGTTGAAAAGCAAGGCAGGTTAACCATGACAACCAATGAATGTATCATTAGAAGATAATTTGAAAATTAAAAAGAGAGGCAAAAGGGAACATAAATAATTACCAACATTCTACAGTCCTTTACAATTTTATGAAGGACAAACGTGATACTATCTAAACATAAAATAACTCGCTACACCATCAATCATGTACAAGTGGTATGTACAGCATTTTATGTACATTATTTTCAATATGCACAACAAAGTAGACTTTACCGTCCCAATTTACATGTTAGATAACAAATGTGAAGAAGAGGCAAGCCTGAATACTGCTAGGAAGGAGACAGTCATCCCAAATATAACAGGTTCAAACCCGGGCTTCCTGCCCCCACCTTGTGGGGCCCTCACGTGGCCTCTCCCCACTAGATTCTGTGCGGTCGCTCTGACTTACCCTGGCACCATGAGACCATTCTCCCCTCAGGGCCTGCCCTGCTGGGCCTGCCGGTCCCTTCCACCCTCGGCTAGCTTGCTCACTCCCTTCTTTCAGGCCCCCATCTGAAACCTGCTCCGTGGGAAGGCCCTCCCTGAACCCACTTTCAGAATAGCCATCCTGCTCCAAGCACCCCATCTCTGGCTTCCTATTCTGCTTTATTTTTCTTCAAAGCGAGTGGCACTGCCCAACGGTGCAGGGTCTGTTTATTCTCTCCCCGACCACAATGAGGGTGGAGACTGTTTTGCTCACTGCAGAATCCCCAGGACCTGGAACAGCACAAAGAGATGCCTGAGAGGCACATGGGTGAGGGAAGCAGGGAGAGGAGAGAGGCACACAAGGACTTCTTGCAAAGCGGCCCCCAGCAGGGACTGTGGCCACGCACACTCCCTGCACAGCCTGTCCCACGGTCTCCACAGACTGTCCTGACACACATGGGCTCCCCCGGCTCTCTGCTCTCCAGAGAGCGGCTGCTTGCTCGCCTGAGCTGGCCCCGCGCCACCCTCTCCTCCCTCTGCGCCTTTCCACGGCACCTTCTCAACTCCCTTTCTGTGGTCAGTTCTTTAACCTTTCACCAACATTTGTCTCCTAACTCCTCAAGTCAGGACAGGGGCTGCATCCTTTTCAATCCTCAGTGGGACTTGCAGACCATCACTTCTCCACCATCACACAAAAAAAACCACTACCTGCCGTTCTACGCCTACAGCTGCACCTATAACTGTCTTTTTTTTTTAAACTGTAAAATCAGGTAGTCTAATTTCTCACTCAAACTACCCACAACCATTTCTGTTACCCCACTTCTTTCCCTCACGTGCCCCTCGCCCCTCGATTATCACCACCACGGCATTCACCAGCGTTGCAAACAGCCTCCTGGTGGCTGAACACTACGGATTAAGCTGTCTTCCTGGGCCTTTGCAGGGCATACCACTCTCCTGGCCTTTCCTTCCTTGAAAGGGTCTCTTCCTGCGACCTTCAGGACACCATATTCCTGCGGCTGCCCTCTTAGCCCTCAGCTGCTCCTTCTCAGTCTCCGCTGCTATTCCTAAGAGTTGAGTCCCTGGCTGCCTTATTTTCCTAGGCCACACCCTCTCTGGGAGGGACCTCGTTCATTTCCACAGCTTCAGTTACTACCAATTCAGGCTTCCCAAACTTGTGGGCCACAGGTACTTTTCTTCTTTTAATTGAAATTTTTATTGTGATAACTGTAGATCCATGTATAGTTGTAGAGATCCCTCCTGCCCCTGTACACTTTGCCCAGTATCCCCTCATGGTAACGTTTTGCAAATTATAGTACAATAGCACACCCAAGATACTGACATTGACACAATCCGCTGATATAATTCAGATTCTGCCCATTGTACCTGTACTCGTGTGTATGCATTAAGTTCCATACAATTTTATCATTTGTACAGATTCACATAGCAACCATCAAAGTCTAGACACTGAACAGTTCCAGTACCCAAGGATCCCTGCTGTTGCCCTTTTATAAACACACCCACCTCCTGCCCACACCCCCTCTCCCCTGTAGCCACTTTTTGTATGGCTGGCCCAGTGTTTTGCAAATTATTTCATTTTTCATCTGTCAGAGTTTAGCTATGAAAACAGAATCTGGCTAGTAAAAAGCAGAAATGGATTCTTTATTACAGAATCATTAGACATATCAAAGAAACATGCTCTCAGCTGTGCTACCAGGAGCTATACCATTGGATCAGGCTACCACCTCCCTCTTCTGTGATCAAGCAGCCCTAATCAGGAAGCTGCAGCTACTGCCACCAGACCCCAAACCACGCCGAGGCTGATAGAACTGCCATAAGCAAAGCTCTGAGCTAGTGTCTCCGTGTTCACAAAGCTAAGACCCTGCCTCTGAAAAAACAAGCACCTCCATGCCTCTGCTTGTCAGTGGAGCTCATTCTACCTTCCACATCCTGTGCAAATGTGTATTATTAGAAGCCCTGGCTGCAAGAAAGCTTTAGAAATATGAATTTTAGTTTTCTGGGCTCTGCAGAAAGGAGGTGTGCTGGGCGCCGAACTGAGCCCCCGCCAGATCCCCAGCACAGCAATTGGCCTCCAGCACCTTCCAGGTCCTGCTGACATGCTCATTTATGCTACATGCCTGGCCCCGAAGACATGTGAGTTGTGACCCTTGAATAACTCCCGAATCTGTATGCCTTGTCCAGACCTCCTTCCTGAGCTCCAGACCCCCAGATCCAACTACTCCCCCACATGTCCGTGTGGACGTCAACTCAAAATCCTATCTGCCTTCCTCCTCAGCCCCTGGCTCTTCCTCTTCCCTAATTCAGTGAAAAGTGGCCCAAGCCATTTCCCTGTTTCCCACCAATTTCATCTAACCCGTCACCACGTTCTGTTGTTTCTCTACCATTCACCTGTCATCTCTCCCCACGCCACCGCCTCACACCACCACCCCAGGGCAGCCCCTATGCACGCGATCTCAGATCACTGCCACAGCCTCCCAACCGGGCTGCCTGCTTCCAGCTCTACCCCACGAGATCTATTCTCCACGTGGCTTTAACAGCACCGAAATCTGATCAGGTAACATTTCTGCTTACGGTGCTGCAGGATCTCCCCAGTGCCCATACAGAGCACCTACTATGTGTCATGCACCATTTTTGGACTGGGGAAAGTGAAGAGGTTTTAGATGGTTAATTCATTTGGCCAAGCTCACATACCAAGGAGGAGGTGAAGCTGAGATTTGAACCCACGTCTGTCTGGACCTAAGGCTCATTGTGTCAACCACTGTGCTGTCGTCCTGGACGAAGGTCTAAAGGGCTTTACAAAGGCCCTTCATGAGCTGCACGCCGCTTGCTCTCCAGCCTTATACTGTCTTCCTCACCTCTAGCCCAGCTGACGTCTTAGCATCTTTGTGCCAAGCCTTCTTCATCTGACTTGCTAACCCTTCCCTGTTTCACAGCTCTGGGCTCTCAGTGGGAGTCTTCCCTGAGGATCTAACACCGAGAAGCCTCTGCTGCTGGGCGCCCGTGTCATCCTGTGCTTTCGCCGATCCTAACACACATCACGCTGTGATGCAACTGTCTGCGTCCCCACTGGGCAGCTCCCGCTCGCCACTGCGTCTCCAGTCTGGTACAGTGCTTAGTAGCACTGAGCACTCAATATTTTGAATGAATGAATGAATGAATGAAAGAAATAGAAGACTTCATCCCAAACCCTGACAAAATATAAAGGACTGGAGATGATCTGGAGAGGCAGGAGACTAACATCTACTGTGCACACAGCACTTTCACATGTTCATTTATCTTCACAATAACCCTTTGCAATAGGAAAGACTATGTTCACTTTACATAAACGACAGGAAAAACGAAGAAATAAAGTCTAACCGCCTTACCCTGGGTTACAGGGCTCGGCCTTCCCTTCCGTATTTCTCACCACTCTTCAACCACCTTAACTGTCAATCCATGCTTTACTCAAATTTCCTTATTTTTCACCAATATCCTTTTTCTGTTCCAGGCTCCCATGCTATACGTAGTCATCTCGTCTCCTCTGGGCTGTGACAGTTTCTCCAACTTGCCACATTTTTGATGGCACTGACACAGTTTTGAGGAGCACGAGTCAGGTATTTTGCAGAATATCTTTCAGTTGGGATTTGTGTTGATTTTTTTCTCTCGTAAGACTGGGGTCGTGGGTTTTGGCGAGGGAGACCACAGAGGTACAGGGCCATTTCCATCCACTGTTTGGAGGGTACGCACTCTCAGTGTGACTCCACACGAGCCTGGGTCTCGGTCAGGTTTCCCCACTGTGACACAAGTTATTCCTTGTTGCCCCCTTTCCACACTGTCCCATTTGGAAGAGGTCACGAGCACAGCCCATACTTAGGGAGAAGTTCTGCCCACCCCCCCTCCTTGAGGGCAGTATCTACAAGAATCATTCGCAATTTTGAACAGATTTGTCTCATCTCTCCCATTTATTATTTATTTATTTTGAGACAGGGTCTCACTCTGTTGCCCAGGCTACAGAGCCGTGGCGTCAGCCCAGCTCACAGCAACCTCAAACTCCTAGGCTCAAGGGATTCTCCTGCCTCAGCTTCCCGAGTAGCTGAGACTACAGGCATGCGCCACCATGCCCGGCTAATTTTTTATATATATGTATATATATATTTTAGTTGGCCAATTAATTTCTTTCTATTTTTGGTAGAGACATGGTCTCTCTCTTGCTCAGGCTGGTTTCGAACTCCTGACCTTGAGCGATCCACCTGCCTCGGCCTCTGAAAATGCTAGGATCACAGGCTTGAGTCACCATGCCCAGTCTCATCTTTCCCATTTATTTATTCAATCATTTCTTTTTATAGTGTCAGCTCATCAGGGATATTTATTTTACTCTTCGGGTAGTAATCCAATATGACTTTATTTCGTTGCTCAAATTATTTCAGCTTTGGCCAGCGGAAGCTCCTTCAGGTGTCTGTGTCCCTCCACATACCTGCCCAGCGTCAGCGTACACATGTGTAAAGCACTTCCTTCCTTCCTGAGACCGTAAGATGCTCCAGGCTCATCTTGTATATTTTCTGTGCCTGTTCTAGAATTGACTATTTCTGCAAGGATTCCTAGTTTATTTTTATTAGAGAATGGTGTTAGAAACCAAGATGTGGGAGCTAGGTGTATGCTACTTATAAATGAAAAAAAAAAAAATCCACTATAATTCTCAACAGAGAATACAGTTCTTCTACAGACCCTACATGCAGAAATGTTAGCACTGCCGATAATTGCCTCGCTGAGGCTTTTAAGACTCACATGATGCTTTCACTCACATCAGTATGAAAAGTTCTGCTAAATACTCACGTTCTGCTCATTTTACTTGCTAATAAGGTTTGTATACATTGAACAAATGGACAGGACAATACATAAGTATAAGCATAATTAAGAAATGTTTTTATTTTCTTTTCTTTTAGCTTCTACAGAACACTTAGTGCTCTGACCTCTGTCCTGTTTGACAATAGTTCTGAATCTCTGATCAGTATAAATCCCATACACAGATTAGGTAACACACTTTGAAGAAAATGGAAAGTCTTAAATGATTACTTTTAAGAAATCTTAAAAGTAAACCCACATTCATCTAAGTAGCAGTGGGCTTTACAGATTAGAAATGGAGAGTCTATTAAAGTAAACTAGTTTGGCCAGTTTTACCTTTCTCAAAAGATTGTAAGAAAATGTCTTTCTTGCACATATTTAAAACAGAAAGGAAACTTTTGATGTTATCTGATTCTACAGCTTTCTCGATCTTACTAGAAGGTGTGAACACAAAGTTTTCCTGTAACTGTATCACACTGCCATCTGGCTGACATACATTGTAAGACACTATCGATTTTAGACGTCATCATGATTTTAAAGGTTAAAATGTGGTAAGGAGAAAGGTCTGTCTTAGAACTGATGAAAAAGGTTAATGAAAAATTATACCACTGTTGAAAAACTAGAACACTTTGAAAAATTACAGGAAAATTTTTTCCCCTATATTTTTGTCTCTTTCAACATTTAACACTTATTTCATATTCAGTTGTCTCCTAGAGTATACAATCTATCAGTACATTTTTATCTGTAGGTGCAATAATACAGAATCTTGCTCTAAATCTTACTGGCAGGTTCTCCTAAATTCTTCACAGTTGCCATAGTGATTAACCAGAATTAGCTAAGATTTTGCTTATCTGTGTGATAATTCACAAGGGTAATTGCTCTAAATCTGAGAAAGAGGAAATAAGCATAATTCACACTCCAAATGACGACAGTCATTTCATATTACCTTCAATCACCCAAATGGTTTTAATACTCTGACCATAAGTTTCTTTGCACAAGTATTTGTTAAATAACTACCATCCAGTCAAGAAATGCAGTACATTAAAGTCCTATTTAAAAAATGCTAAGTGAATTCTTTATAAAATTAAGAATCATTTATATCAGGCGTCTTCAAACTACGGCCCGTGGGCCACATTCGGGTGTTTTTGCCCGTTGGTTTTTTTTACTTCAAAATAAGATATGTGCAGTATGCATAGGAATTTGTTCATAGTTTTTTTTTTAACTATAGTCCGGCGGCCCTCTAATGGTCTGAGGGACAGTGAACTGGGCCCCTGTTTAAAAAGTCTGAGGACCCCTGATTTATATCAACAAAAATTATCCACTAATTTGTCTATAAATTTGGTATGTGCTCAAGCACACCTCTGCGTGTAAGTGGGTAATAAAATCTTATTTCAGGCATTTGTATCTGTGCACACGTGCACACTGCGGGGCAGTGGAAGGGAAGGGGACAAACTGGAAGAATGCATAGGAATGCTGTCCATCTAAAAGAAAACTGGTAAAAATATGTAGAATTGGGTTTTTCTGATAGCCAAATTTAAACTCTTCTTACAAACAAATTAAACTCACCTTTTCTGGAATATTTTCAGTAATGATGTCCAAATGTGACAAAACTGATAAAAAAGTACAAATACTTGTTTTAAGGTTTTCTTCGCCCTGCAAAAAGAATCAGACAAACAAACGTTCAGTCCAGGCTTACCGTGAGCCGTGCATGTCCAAGGCACCGTGCGGGACTCTGCGAGGGTACAGGATGAGAGGCAGCCTCTTCCTGGAAGCAGTCCACAGCCTGGGTGTGGATGCAGGACAGAAAGCAGAGAAAGGAAAGAGACTGCCCAGAGCCAAATGCCATCGCATACAACAGTCAGGAGATAACATAAGTACTAAATAACTAAAGATAAAGTACAGTCAGCCCTTGTTTATCCGTGGGTTATGAATCTGGAGATTCAACCAACCATGGATCGAAAATATTTGAGAGAAAAAAATAAAAATAACACAAATTTTAAAAATATAGTATAACGACTATTTACATAGCATTTACGTTGTATTGTGTATTGTAAGTAATCTAGAGTTGATTTAAAGTATACAAGGGGATATTACAGGTTACAAGCAAATATTATGCCATCCTATATAAAGGGCTTGAGCATCTGCAGATGTGGGTATCTGTGGGAGTCTTGGAACACCCAGGGAGGCCCCTGTGGACGCCCCTGTGGATGCCCAGGGAGGGCTGAAAGTGGTAGAACCAAGAGCATGCTCACTTCAGAAGCGGCCAGGCCTTTAGGATGGGAAGGATCGGCCTGTAGAAGGAAGGAACACAGGGGAGCAAGAGAGAGAGAAAGAACAGGTAAAAATGATCAAGGTGAACAAAGACGCAGGGCAAACTAAGGTGAGGGCAGCAAGAGGTGATGAGGCCAGCTTGGCAAGGAAGCAACAGGAATGAGGCTCCAAAGTCAAATGGAATCATACTGTAGAAGACTTTAGAAAGCTATGGTGAAGAGTGTTAAACTGTTATCTGGAAACATTCCCAACAACAGTGATATGAAATGATACATTATTTTTGTGATAATAAACATATGGATGCCAAACAGATTGGAAAGGAGAGAGACTACAGGAAGAAAGACCAGTTTTGAAACTTCTCCAAGAGGAAATCTTTTATTTAATCCATAGTTCCTAGATGTCCTCTATGTGACAGGTGCCATGGAAACAAAGGAAAGCAACAATAGACCAGGCTCCTGCTCTCCTGGAACTCAGAATCAACTCGGCAGGAAAGACAAAAATCAAATCAGGTTAAAAAACTAATTCTAAGTACTATTTATGTGCTATGAAAACCTAAAATGAGGAGATCTAAGTGGGAGGTAACTTCCTTTAAGAATGCCGTGTGAGCTGAGATCTGAAGGGAGAGAGGCAGTTATCTAGGTAAAGAGGAGAAAGCCCACCACACTTCAGGTGGAGAGCACAGCATGTGCAATGGCCTGACAGCAAAAGGACTGATGGTAGCAGGCAAGATTAGAAAGGTCAGTGTGCTACCCCAGCCACACTGCTTGGCTCCCAGGGAACCAAGCTCTGCACTCGGGCCCTATGCAGATCCCTCTCACTCCTGGGAGGGGGTGCTCATGTGATCTTCTGTGGCCAATGAGGCACAAAAGCAAGCATGCACTTGCACATCAGGATGTGGCCCCTGCAACGCTCATTCTCAGAGCCCTGACCCACCCTACAAAGAGGTCCGGCTCCCCTACTGGAGACATGGATACCTGGCCACCAGAGCTGTTCCTGCCACCGCAGCTGAGGTGACAAATACATATGTGAAGAAGCCACTTGGAAGTCCCAGCTCCAGCAGACACTGCATGAACAAGAACTGCCCAGCCAGGCCCAGTCCACACACAAAATCATGAAAAATAATGAAACACTGTTGTTTATACCACTAGGTTTTGGAGAGTTCTAGCAATAGAAAACTGAGACAATCAGTCTACCTGAAATTCAGAAGTAGGAACGGAGCACACAAAGGGACCGGAGAGGGAAGAGGCACGAGATGTCACAAGGCTCACAAGTCATTCTGAGGAATTTGGTCTTTGTCCTGAGAACAATGTTTTAAGCAAGCGGGACAACCTGTTCAAACTTTCATTGTGGAAAACCTGCTCTGGCTTCAGCGTGGAGAGGAGCTTGGGAGGGGATGGAGGCAGCCCCGTGAGGAAACCACCACAATGGACAACACTAGCTTGGACAAGATACAATGACAGAGACAGATGACAGATAACTAAGAATATTCAGGCAGTGAGATCAATAGCACCTGGTCAGGAATCAGACCCAGAAGATGAAAAGTGTCGAGATTTCTGGTTTGTGCAACTGTATAAATGTTGGTACTGTTCCCTAGAGTAGGAAGATGGTACTGTCCACTCTAGTAGGAAGATCAAGTTTAGGGAAAAAAATAAAGCATTCGATGTTGAATATCTAAGTTTTAGGTTACTTATAAACATTCTAAGGAAATGTCTACAGCAAGGGTTAGCAAACTTGTTCTGTAAAGAGCCGAAAGTAAACAACATGGCTTTGTGTACCACAGGTTCTCTGCTGCAACTGCTCAAGTCTGCCACAGGCAGTATGGAAACACAGTGCGTGGCTGTGTTCCAATCAAACTCTGCCAGGCCAAATCTGGCTGCAGTTCGCCAACCCTTTGCCTAGAGCTTAGGGGAAGACGTGTGGAATAGAAATATAAATTTGTGAGTCACTCACATCAGGCAGTAAGTGAATCCATGACACGGATAAGACTATCAAAAGAAGAGAAAATAAAGAAAAAAGAAGGCCTAGCTAGCCCTTGCAAAGCATTAACATTTATTAAATAATAGGTTGGTAGGGAAGGAAAAGAGAATGTCTTGGAAAGGACACAGAAAAGAGAGAAAAGAGCGACAGGAGGAAGAGGGGAGTGAGTGTCACTAGAGCCAAGAACAAGGAAATGGCTGATAGCGTGACTGTGGCTGAGAGAAGATGAAGGGTGGCACCTGTCCCATGCGGGTCACTGCTGACTCTAGCAACAGTGTCTTCTGAGAAGTGACTGCACTGGAAGCTGGTCCACAAGGGACTGAAGAGTGGGTTGGGAAGAACGCGAAAAACTGACCTATGGAACATGGGTACCTCTCTTCAGGAGTCTATGAAATCATACACAGACAGGGTGATTATAGGAGAAGGATGAGACAATATCCAGTCTAGCCATAAAAAAATGGAGGATACTCGAGCATCTTTAAAAGCCCATGGAGCAGGATGTGGTGGTGCATGCCTGGAGTCTCAGCTCCGTGGAAGGCTGAGGCAGGAGGATCGCTTGAGCCCAGGAGTTTGAGGTTGCTGTGAGCTAGGCTGACGCCACGGCACTCACTCTAGCCTGGGCAACAGAGCAAGACTCTGTCTCAAAAAAAAAAAAAGGATCGGAGATTTCAATATATTAAAAATAAATAAATAAATAACCCAATGGAACCAGGTGGTTAAGAAGGAGAGATGGAGGACGGAAAAAAGACTGATGGCAAAAAGTTCCTAAGAAGGTGGGAGGAAAGAGGCACCAGAGGGCAAGCAGAAAAATTACCCTGGAACAGGAGAAGACTCAGGTCCTTCACAGTAAAAGGAGGGAGGAAACCTCTGATGGATACTGACATACGTAGATTTGTACAACTGCTTTTGAGAAGATACAGGTATTGCTATGTGATGACTTTTATTTTCTCTAAAAAAAAAATAAAAGGTCATCTGTTCCAAATAGAGGAGGAAAAGAATGTAAGGGACAACTGCCCCTTTTCCTTGATTATCTACTGTGAATCACTTTCCATGTTTAGGGAATTCTCTCACCTTATGACACTTTGGGCACGCTGAAAATGGCAGATATGCAGCCTCCCTCCCCTAACAAGGTGGCACCTGACCTGGTTCCAGAGACACTTACCCTAAATTCTTCATTGAGAACTCATGACCTAGAGAAGCAGAGCCCACAGAATGCCCACCTCCGCTGCAGGTGGCAGAGGCGGCAGGTATACAGTTGGCTACGGTCACAGCCCTGTTGTGATGGTACCCTGTGTGTCCAGTGGGTAATGTCCCCAGTGGACCTGCTCTATGGCTTGCCTGTGGCCGCAGTTCTGGAGGCTGTTGGGCTGCCCCTGTTCCTGCCAATTTTCCAAGCTATGATTCCATAGCTTTCCAGGCATTCTGTAAGCTACCTAACTCCCCACTCCCCAACTGTCTTTTCTGAGTCCATTTTTGATTCCATCAGCAAAAGCTGCCTTTGCCTACAACTATCAGCAAAAGTTGCCTTTGCCTACAACTAAAAACTCTGATGTCCGCAGGAAAAACGAGAGATTTCCAGAGAATATACAACGTCTAATGACAAGCAAGAGATTGAGCTAAGTAAACAAACTTAGTAAAATCGCTGGCACTCCTGTGGACACATGCACTGTCAGGATATCTTAGAAGCACACGGGAAGCAACCCGCCCTTTGTGAGCATTTCTGAGGCAGCGCTTGCCCACGTAAGAGCAGGCATGAACAGCTAGGTTAATAAAGCCATGCATCTGAGAAGCAGTGTAAGGAAAAATGACAGAACAGCTTTCTTCATTACATGGGCATGAAAAAGAGAAGGAAGAGCCAGAGGAGGCTTGGAATAGGTGAAAAGGAACACAGCATTTGAGCTTAAACAGGCATATGAATTAAAGCCTTGCCATTTCTTGGTGGCGTGACAAATGTCTTACTCTTCATAAGGAAAATGTAAAAACCTGTCTTTCAGAATTACCGTGAGGCTGTTGCCGCTGCTGCTCACTGTGACACCCAGGTTTCAAGCGAGCAGACTGCGAAAATGGAGGACACCAGAAAGGGGAGCCAATTTTAAGGAAAGATGCTATTATTCATTAGTTTAACACAGGACGAAATCTGACGCGATTATGGAAAAGGCCTCATTGGTGGCGGAGAAGCAGGGACCCAGGACAGATGGGGCTTACTAAGGGAGTGCGGAAAGAGAAGCGGATAACAATTCTTCAGATAAAACTAAGCATTAAGGGTTGGGAGAAAGAAAGGGAGCATATGAAGGAAACAGAAGTCATGGGCGTAACAGGAAGGGAACTATGACATAGACAACAGTGTGACAATCGGCTGCAGAGAAAGCCACTGCCAATGTGAAAGGCATGAAATGACAGGGAGGGGATGGAGGAAAAGAAAATTGTCTGCAGCTGCAGATGAAATCCTTAGTGTACCATTGCTGAAAACGTGGTGGACCACAGTGGTTTAAGGCACAGATCCCTCAATCTCAAAGTTTAACAGTAAAGAAAAGAAGAACTAGGATAACGGCTGGGAGGTGGAGGACACATCAATAGGACAAGCGTGACAGATCCAGAGAGTGCAGTCCCAAAGGAGATACAAGGTCACAGGGATAGATGTGAAAAAAACATAAGGATTTCTTCCTCTGAAACTGAAAGGGAAGAAACAGAAAAAGAGAGATATTGAGGAAGTCACCTCCATTTTCACATAAAATAGAAGATCATTTATTAAGAAAGGGAAGGGTGAATTTGGGAACCAAAAACAAAACATTCAAGGGAAATATTTATAACTGATGTTTAGATACAATTCAGTATTTGTCAGGAAGCTTGCAATGATAAAATCTATCACTAATCTTGGTATCAATTCCTTAAAATTAATTTTCAAAATATAAGGAATGTTGGGAAAGGGAGAGTTAAGGGAATGAGTGAGGGTATAAATGAAACAGGAATGGAAATAAATCCATACTGTCTTTAGCTTGGTGATGGAAAATTCCCTTCTATTCTTTCTACTTAGGTTATGTTTGAAAGTTCCCTACCAAAAAGGTTGTTGTTGTTTTTTTAAACGTAAGGAATGCATTTAATTCCTCATCATTTGTATTTCTAACATCAAAGACATTGCTTAGGAAATAAGAATATAGCGGGCACCTATTTCCCCTACTTCTTAATAACAGAAGCCTTTTCCATATTTATTTTGTTGGAACAAACAGTCCTCAAATAAAAACTATAATATATTCAAGATGAGTGCCAGGTATTTGTGTCTCCTAAATTAATTCAGATCTTGCAAAACGTAACTTACGGTGTGAATACATTATAGCAACTGAGAGTTGAAAACAACTCTTAAAGTGAAACAAATCTCCGGGCACAGTCAAAATCATTTCTTAATTTAAAAAAAAATATGAAAAATGTCCTTTACTTACATAAGAAAAACAATCCCAGAACTTTGGAAGAAATTGAGGGAATTTATGAAGAATCAATATAATAATCCATTCTATAAAATATTTTACAGATGCTTGATTATTGATGAAACCAGCCTGGAAAATCCTGTCAATAATTCCAGTCACAAAGTTCTGTGAAAAATAAAATTCACAAATTAAACTGTTACTGTTATTAATGTTAATAAATAAAATAGCCCCCATTTAAAAACCAGCTTAAAGTTATCATAAGTAATTTATCAAATCTACAACTCACCAAGCAGGGCCACTAAAAACTGTCGACTTAAATATGATGATGAAATACTTTTACTGAGTACTTTACAATTTACTTGGATATCAATTCTATCAGGAAGGTTACTGTCATCTTTATTTTTACAGGCAAAGGAAAGACTGAGAAAAGCTGAATAACTTTCCCAAAGGCACATACTCAGTGGCAGAATTCAGATTTCAATCAAGATCTGCCAAGGTGCCAGAGCTTAAACTTGGAACGAAGGGCAGCACAGAGGCCAGGGTCAGCAGGGGGAAACAAAGTCTCAGAGGGCAGGTCTCAGGCCGTTCTAAGCCCCGAGACAGTGCCGTAAAGTGGAGCGTGAATTCTGTACTTAGACTTGAACTTGAATTCCATCTCTTCCATCCACAGGTTTTGTCGCCACACAGGTAGCTCTCCTAATCTCTCTGAACTTTGGTGCTCTTACAAGTAAAATGAGGACATTTATGGCCTGTCTCGAAAGACTACTATAATAAAGGTTAGACGAAACCATAACATGTAACAGTTTGAAACTCTTAGCAGAGGCTGCCCCGTAACAGACGTGTCCCCACCCTCTCTCCAGCGTTGCCCTTCGCTGGAGACCTCTCCATTCCAAGAAAAAAAATGTCCTCAGTAACCCAGTAAAGCATTTCTAAAATGTTTCTCTTTTTAAATACTTTTTTATGTTTAATGAAGTATAACATATACTTTATTTAAAAAACTAACTAGTATTAAAAGACCTGTGGTAAAAAAAAAAAAACAGCAGCCCCCACCACACCTCCACCCACACCACTCCCCAGACCCACTCCTTTGGCTGTTTCTCTTCAATTCATCACTTACACACTTACGTTGTTATTTGTTTCCCTCTCTCAGATTATTCACAAAATTGTAATGAAAAAGAGGATGACATATTTTTTAAATTCTCTCAAACATTTAAAAGAGGGTGGGGAGGATAGTAAGAAGCTTGAAAGCCTGAGGAAATTTTTTTTGCATTCAAAATGTTTTTTTAAATTACATGAGTCACACACCCTCACTTTGTCATAATGATGATCTATTTCCTAACAGGACTATTATGCAAAGATGGGAAGAGAAATCAGACAGTCCATTCAACTGTTCCTTCCCTCCTCGGGGAAAAGAAGAGGTAACTTTGGATAAACAGACTTTGTTGTAAGAGACTTTACTTCATTGGTTTGTATGGACACATTATTCACAAAATTAAGGGCAAGAAACTCCACCATGGGAAACAATAATCCGACCCCAAATGGTACAACCTGCCTGGTTTCTAGAGTATAGATAATTAATTCAAAACAGTTACACTCCAAAATAACTTAGGTGTAGGAAATGGAAGTATTTACCTTTTCTGATCAAATGGCATATGAGACTTTAAAATGTTATGTTAAAGTTAAAATAGTTATGTTAAAATGTTATGTTAAAATATGGAAGAGAAAAATATTAAATGGGGGCCATGTAAACCAGATTTCAATTTATTTCTATAACATATAATATAATCTATTTAAAAAAACCTTCATTATAAGAACTGAAGCATACATTTTAAACAGATTACTTTTTCAATTTTCTTTTTTTTTTCCGGCATATTATGGGGGTACAGACTTTAAGGTTTCAATAAATGCCCTTCCCCCCCACCCCCCACAAGTCTGAGTTTCCAGCATGACCATCCCTCAGATGGTGCACATGCCAGTCATTATGTATGTATATACCCGCCCCAGTACATGATGGTTTCTACAAAATAGTTGATTCATATGAAATGTTATGCTTAAAAGGTGTGAATATAATAAATTTTATACCTGATCAAATCTGGGGAAAAGTACAAGCAGAGTCTGCCATATTCGGTTTTTCACTCTGTGTTGTAGAGAATTCACATAGTAGCTAATTTTGGACTTGGACACCAATTCATCCTAGAGGGAGAAAGGAGGAAATCCATATTAAATATCTACTGAATTATGATTAATGAAAACAATATGAATAAGAACTTCAAATGTAAAAGGCTTAAATTGGGCATAGGGCCTCACTGTCATCCAAATAGTAGTGAGGAGGATAAGAAAAAATAAGAAATGACACTTTATAATCTCTTTTCAAAAAACACTGAACTTAGTGGTTTTTGTTTAACTTATCTGCTTTTAAAATTAGAAGAGAGACCACAGCACTGGGAGATGCGGGGTCACGGAGCAAGAAGAGATTGAGATATCTGACATATTATTACCATGAACCACATAGGCACTTCTCATTTTGAGCTTCTTTGCCTTACTAGAATTTGGAATAGCGGTATCTGCAATTTGATGCAAATGCCACCAAGACAGAACCACTCCAGTATGTAGACAGTGCGATGCTGTCTTGACACAAGACAACGGCAGCACTAAGCCTTTCCACAGGAGCAGAGAGTTCTCCCTGGCTTTCGATGGTTTGTGCCACCCACGTTCAGCCAACGGCAAGGTTTTGTTACCATTAACTGTTAGTGCTTTAGCTGTGAAGCCAAGATCGCACTGAAGAGTGTGTTAACATTTGCAAACGTTTTAAAGGTGCAAAAGTTAGTCATTCGCCACCTCTAAAAACCATTTTCGCATAATGTAGATGGATCATCATCTACTTCGTAACTTCTCTGTGATTTTTCTTCTTCTATCTCACTCTCTGCATTTGAGTTTTAAAACTTCATGACAATAGCTAAATTAATACAGATTTTTAATGACACCTGACAGTGACTAAAATCTCATAACCTCCTGTATTATCATTATTTCTTTTGGGATATTTTCTTTTCTGTAGGTGTGCTTTGGTTTCATATACTGCTCAACCTCAAGGCAACTAAAAATGGAATCAGGAGGGCAGATCACTCATGCATTCAGAGGGAGCAACTTCACATCAATAAGCCTGCCATGAGGACCTTACTGAGTCACTGTCCTCACTTGGAAGTGCTAAAATTCCTCTCTCAGCTCCAAATCTTCTGTCCCATTTACTTGTTCCACTCAGTGTGCTCCTTTATTCAAAAATATCTTTCTTTTCCCTCCTAGTTTCATGAGCCTCCTGAAGCTCTACAAGACCTTCAAGAGCACAATCAGTTCTTTTCACTACAACCTCAAAGCCTTTTGCAAATTCCCTACTTCTGAACCAACTCACCCAGGGGTCTTAAATTCTCTTGATCCTTATTTCAAGTCTCCAGGCACTGCCAAAGAAAAGAAAAATCACCTGCCACCACTGACGTCATTAACAATATGCATGCCAGCTGTAGCTGGGCCTTCATTACTGCCAGGCCAGTGGTTTTTAAACTCTATCGGCTCCAGAATCGGCTTACAACACTGACTGCTGGGCACCACCCCTGACTTTGGGGGTGGGGCCCAAGAATATGCATTTCTAACACATTTCCCAGGGATGCTGATGCTGCTGGTCCAGAGAACACACTTTAAGAGTTACAAGCGTTTTGCTTTTGCAAGTCTGTTTTCCAAAGCAGCTGCACCATTTTCTTTTCCTACCAGCAGTGTATGAGGGTTCCAATTTCTTTACATCCTCACCAATACTTGTTATTTTTAGTTTGTTTTTCTTAATAGCCATCCTAGGGGGTTTAAGTGGCTAGTAAAAGATTTTGCCTGTGCAATCACTGCTGGCCTCTCCATAATTATCATTTTCCCCTCTCTATTGGATCATTTCCCTCAACATACAAACGTGTGCTCTAATTATCCCCCATATTTAAAAATCGCCTTCCTTAACCCCATGTCCCCTCCTGGAACTGTCCCCTTTATTCCTTCTTTCTCACTGTCTCCACTCACTCAACCCCAGTTTTCTTCTCAACCCATTCTATTTGGGTTCTCATTCCCACCACTTCACTGAGATGCCTTTTGTTGGGGTGACCAATGGCAGCAGAACCTAATGGCCAATCCACAGCCTGCTTGCCCCCCAAGCAGCACTGTCTTTCCTCACCTGGCCTCCTGAAAATGTCCTCTGCTGGTGTCTTTCTACCTTCCAAATGTCACCTGATGAAGAGAGGCAGTGCCTGACCCCCTATCTATTATAAACAGCTAAATATACTTTATAATATGTATTTTTGTTCTATGTGATAGAATACTCAGCTCCCACCACTTTAAATTCCACTCATCCTTTAGAAAACCAATCAAATACTATTTCCTCTGGGACATCTTCCCTGACTCAGCGTAAAAGGGAATTTTCGCATAAAAAAATACTTCCTAGGTTTTACCTAATAAAGCTGATCTGCTACCTTCAAAATATAAGCATGATGAACATTCCTATTTTAATACAGTGACTTAAGTGGGTTCTATTGTTATCCAAGTGTTCAAACCAAGGTTAGAAAGCAGACCAAACACTCCGACTATCTCAGCTTCAGATTCTACATGTCATTTAAAGATTAAAAGAGGAATAGAGCATTATACTTGACTGTACCCTTTTTCTCTTTTTTCCCTAGATTTACTAAACCTATTCTTCAGACACTGTAATGTTCATTTAGAAATGACTCAGCAGGCTCCTGGAAAGCCCTAATTGGATTATTCTTATCTAAATGAATGAGAAATTTTCATCAATTTTAGATAATCATCATAAACCCATATCTCAATAAAACGATATATTATATTAGAAGCAAACCCTGAGGTACTCTTTCACAAACTCTGAAATAAGAGCAATCAATGCTTAAGATTATGCCACCTTCTAATTTTTACCTTTTTTATTCCATTTCTTATATAAACAATGTATGGATAGGGCACTCTAAACATAACTGGTTTTTGACTGGAACTGGGAAATACACAGAGGTAAGTTTAGATGGTATAGGAAAAACACTATTGTTCTCTAAAACCAAACTTGAGTTGGACAGTCAATAACCAAGATTTAACTAAAAATACAGAACATAAACTTCATGTTTTCTCCTGACAAAAAATATTTAGAAACACATATACTAGCAACATAAAGAACAAATGTTGGACTTGTTAAAAACAAATATAATTCAAAGTAAAATAAAACATATTTACTTTATCTAATAGCTTGATTGCAAGATCCTCCATAAACAACTTATGGGACATATTTGAGCCATCTAATAAACACAGAAATTTGATAGCACAAATTCTCACATAATGGTCTTCTCTTTTAGTACTAAAAAATATTAAATAAATCATGTTAATGCATTTTTAAAATAGAAAGATAACACCAAATACTAGTTTCAAGTATAACAAATATCAAGACCTTCCAACATTTTCTAAAATTAAGTAGGTCAATGCTTAATGATAAGACTTTTAAATTCAGGATAGATAGATTACAAATGAATATGTTAAAAGGAGGGTCTGGTTCAGAAAGTCTGAATAAGCACAAATTCATCCAGACTTTTGGAAAAACAATGTACAGACTACTGATCCTGGGCCAATAATGTGTGTGGACAAAACATAGCCATGAAACTATTCCTGAAAGAGGACCACAGATACCTCTGTTCACTCAGGGGCAAGAACATGCATCACACATCTCAATGGCTTGTCTTTACTACATACTAAAAATGCACATTTTCTAAGTGAGGGGCAAACTCAGGAAGCACTGTGTGCTCTGAACACCCCAGCATTTTCAGTATACAAATATGTAGGAAGACAAATCAAGTGAATTTGATAACAAG